CTTTTTAAAAAAATTTTTAAAAATAGCAAAATGGCGACCATTTTTGAAAAATGAAAAAAATCATATTTTTCAGAAACAAAAATTTTAAAAATTCTGAAAATTTTTTTTTGATTACTAGATAACGTAACGAATTATTTTCCATAGGTTTGATAAGCGCTAAAATGACTCAAAAGTCGCTCTATTTTATTTTCAAATAACAAAACTCATACTTTTGGGTATTTTCAGCTTTTTGATTTTTGTAGTGTTTTTAATAACTCGTTTCTTGCAAATATGAAAGTTAAAAGATTTTTAAGAATTAATGAAATGACGGATTTTTTTTGAAAAATCAAACCACTCGTTTTTTTCAAAAACATAATTTTTATTTTTTTAAAAATTTTTTTGTGGTTACTGTTGATGAAAGAGAACGTTTAAATATGTTTGGTTTCCACTAATATATCGCTAATTTTGGAAAAATTATTTCGAATTTTGAAACTAATAAAAGTTGTTTTTTGATTGATAGCATTTGAAAATTTTGGGCAAAAAGTGATTTTTTGCAAAACGGTTGAAAAATTTTTTTCCAATTATTCAATTTTTTTCAAAAATCAATATTTTTAATTTTGTTTCTTGTTTCCATAGTAGTGTTTTTGTATCTCTTTCTTTGAAATTTTGAAAATGTAAAAATTTTGAAAATTAGCATTTTTTGAAAAATAAATTATCTCAAAATCATTATTATTATTTAAAATTCTGAAAATTTGCTTTTGATTACTATATAACAAAACGAACTTTTTCAAAATAGGTTTGATAAGCCCGAAAATGCCTCGAAGGTCGCTACATTTTTTTAAAATAAAACTAATTATTTTGGGTATTTTCTGATTTTAGACTTTTGTATTATATTTCATACTCTTTTTTAGAAAATGTGAAAATAAAAGAATATTTTGGGAATTAACAAAATGGCGAACATTTTTTGAAAAATCAAAAACTCGTTTTATTCAATAACATCATATTTTATTTTCTTGAAAAATTTTTTGCTGTTACTAGATAAATAAAAGAACATTTTAAAACGGGTTTGGTGTCTACTAAAATGTAGCTAAAGTCGGGAAAATTATTTCTTATTCCGAAAACATTAAAAGTCGTTTTTTTATTGATAGAACGCCATATTTCAGGTGAAAAAATGAACTTAGAAATATTTAAACTTGTTGGGATTTGGTGAAATAAAAAGGAGTTTATTCCTATTAACAAAAGTAACTTTAATTCTATTACTATAAGTGGTAGATACAATTCACGCGACAGACCTCTTGTGTGGTCAAGAGACGAGTGACTATATTAATGTGTTTAGGGAAATATGACATTGATGATGATTCATTCAGGGAGAAATATTTGGGCTCATATTATTCGCTATATTTCCAACAAAACTAAATGAAAATTAAATTATTATAAAATATTTCGATTTTCTTCCGGGAATCTTGATATTTTCAAATTTCTTTAAAATTATAAACAAATTAAAATGAAATAAATAAAAAACATGAAGATAACGATCACTCCGAGTCAAGGCGAACAAAAGAAAACAAAACTATTTCTTTTTACGTTTCAGCAGCACCGCTGCCCTCTTCAGAAACTACAAGATTTTTATTAATAAATAATTAAAATTTTACATATATAATTTAAAAAGTACAGTAAAAAGGTTTATTTATTAATTTATTATTTATTAATAAAAATCTTGTAGTTTCTGAAGAGGGCAGCGGTGCTGCTGAAACGTAAAAAGAAATAGTTTTGTTTTCTTTTGTTCGCCTTGACTCGGAGTGATCGTTATCTTCATGTTTTTTATTTAATATCGACCGAGTGATAAAATCATTTTATTTATTTAAAATGAAATAAATTAAAGTAAATTATTATTACTGTATCTGATTTTAAACATAATTAATATGAATTAAATTAATTGAAAAACGACATATAATATAAACATATATCCATTTAAATGAGTCGACTGTATTTGAAGGGTAGAATGACAAAAGGGGTCAAGCGCCAATTTATCGAAAATGAGGTTTTTGCATAAAAAAATCAAGAAAATTCATTTACACATTTCTGTAGAAGGATTTCCTTTTTTATTGCGTATTTAAATCAGTTTTTAATAAAAATTAAATTAATAAAATAGTTTCAAATTTACTTTATTGCAACCTGATTGAAAAACAAAAGAAAGTGGTGTTCAATTTTGATCAAAAATATTATTTTTTTAGGTTTTATTTTAATATTTTATTTTAATTTTATTTTAATAATATTTTAATTAATAAAATTAATAATAATAATAATGTATTTTCAATTTTAAACAATTTTAAAATCATTTTGTTATTAACTTTTAAATATTTTTATGGTGATACTAAGTGAAAAATTGAATTTAAAGATGAAAGTATTGCTCAATTCCAAAGCAAGCAATTAATTCGTAATTTTCTTGAAAACAAACAATTTTTTAAAGGAATTTTTTATTCTATTCATTTCGTCGATTCCATAGAAAGAAACTAATTTTCCAGTTTTTCTTTAAACTGTATATTTTTTTTATAATTAATGCTTAAAGAAAATGTGCGCAGTTGATATAACCTCAAGGAACCATCGTTTTTTTTAATTTTATCGTTAATATGTAGGTTTATTTCAACAAATTGTTGTTTATTTATTAAAACATACTAATATATCGAAACGGTTTTCTCAGTTTTTTTTTAAATGACCTGCAAAATTTTTAAAAATGTTTTTTTTACTTCCTGTAAAAACAGTGAATTGGCGCTTGACCCCTTTTGTCATTCTACCCTTCATTTGTTGTTTAAAAAACAAATGAAAAGTGTTGAACACACACAGATATTGATAATTGGCAGTTCGCTCATTTGACAGATTGACAGGCAAGAAATTTATTTTTTTAAGGAATAGAAGCGTTTAAAATATCTGTAAGTAATTCATAAAAATAGTTGTCATTATTAGAATTTGAGCCCTACTCGAAAATTATATAAAAAATGTAATCGTTTTCACAATAAAATGGCATAATATGTATTTTACTAAAGAAAAATACATTTTTTACATTTTCCATGATGTTTAAATTAATTGTATAAAATTATTTTACAATTTAAAATTTTTATATTTTTTTGTTAGGTTAAAAGTCAATGTTTAGCTAAATACAACAAATTAATGTCAGTTTTTTATAAAGTTGATTTTTTTCGAAATTTATATGTTTAGATACTTTTACTAAATAAGTTGAAAGTTTCAAATCTTGTTAAAATTTTTTTCTAGTTCTTTAAAACAAATAGAGAGACATGTTTTTTATGTTTTGAGAAGAAAACATTTTTTTTAGTTACGGGCATTTGAAAATTATTGGGCAAAAAGTGATTTTTTGCAAAACGGCTGACAAATTTTTTCCACTCATTACAGTTTTTTCAAAAGTCAATATTTTTCAATTTAGTTTCTTGTTTCCATAGTAGTGTTTTTGTATCTCTTTCTTTGAAATTTTGAAAATGTAAAAATTTTGAAAATTAGCATTTTTTGAAAAATAAATTATCTCAAAATCATTATTATTATTTAAAATTCTGAAAATTTGCTTTTGATTACTATATAACAAAACGAACTTTTTCAAAGTAGGTTTGATAAGCCGGAAAATGCCTCGAAGGTCGCTACATTTTTTTTAAATAAAACTAATTATTTTGGGTATTTTCTGATTTTAGACTTTTGTATTATATTTCATACTCTTTTTTAGAAAATGTGAAAATAAAAGAATATTTTGGGAATTAACAAAATGGCGAACATTTTTTGAAAAATCAAAAAACTCGTTTTATTCAATAACATCATATTTCAGCTGAAAAAATAAACCAGGAAATATTTTTTCGGTTTTCTTAATTATCATTTTAATTTAGTGAAATATATGATTTCATTATTGACATTACGGATAAATATATATTTTATTTGTCTAGTAAGCGCAAAAAAATATCAAGAAAATTTAATTTGTTTCTTAAAAAACAATTTTTTTAATTTTCAAAAAGTGTCCAGCATTCTTTTAATTTTCAAAAATTTTTTAAATTGACAAAATTGCAAAAAAAGGGTATCAAAAAACACTAATAAAATCCAAAAATAGAATGTATATGTGAATACTTTGTAGCGGTACATATTCCCCAAAATAATGAGTTTTGTTATTTTCAGATAAAAAAATTCTAGCGACTTTTGAAAGCCTTTTTCTAGCCTATCAAACCTAAAAGCGCCTATGAAACCTAAAAATTTAATTGTTTAAAAAGTTAAAAAAAGTTTAAAAGCCTCGGATTATTTATACAAAATTTTCAGATTTTCTTTTAACAAAAACGACTTCATCATTTTAATTATTTTGCAAAATTTTAACATTTTTTATTAATTTTTTTTTAAAAGTTGATTTTTGAAGTGACGTCAAAATTTTTGTGTCATTTGATTACTGAATATCTAATCTCAACACCCAACATATTTTTTTTTCTGAATTTAGTGGAAATTGAATTTTATTCGGCAATTCAGAAATGTAGTATTATTATTCGTTGAGTTTATAAAAATTGTTAATATGTAAGGAGTTTCTTTGAGATTTTTTAAAATTTAATTAATTTGTGAATTATGACATCGTTTATTACAATATTGTTTATCAAATAAAAATAGTAACTGTTCGTTTTCTTAATATTTTATTAAATTATGAAAATTTTTATTTTTATTTTATTTAAAAGTTAATTTTAATTATATAATATATAATTATAAAATAATCTATTTTTAATCCGTTTAATCAAGATTTTCATAAAATAGATTGTTTAAAACACTTTTTAATTAAAAATTCTCAATAATTCACTTATGCACTTTTTGAAATTTGTAAATAATTTTGAAGAAAATAAATTGACAAAAATGACAATTAAAATCTTAAAATCTCCAGAAACTTAATAACTTTTAAAAATATAAAAAGTCACTTTTCCATATTTAATTTAAAAAAAAAATTTTTTGATAAATTAATTAATTTCAATAATATTTTACTAATTCTTTTCATTATTTTCAAGAAATAGAAATTAAGGAGAGTCTGAGAACATTTTCCGTTATATTAAGGAATTAATTTCAAATGTGGATAAAATCATTTTTATACTATTTTTTTGAGAAATTTAATGGTCATAAAAAGAATCAGTTAAAAAAAATTTTGACCATTTTCCAAAAATCAGAAAGAAAAAAACATTATCTAGTAAAAACTATTTTTTCATTTTTTTAAATTTCGAAATCCAGTTTTATGTTGAGATGCTGAAAATATTTGCTCTTCTCTTTGTACTTTGTAGAATTTTAAAGATGAGCATAAATTGCCCCGATGACCTTGAGGATAACCATGTTCAAGAGGTGTTAAAATTAGCAAAATCCAATGATCCTGAATTAATAAATGGTTATATAATGGAAAACATTCACAACATCGAAGATGATTATAACATAATAACTTCAGCTATTTATTATGTCATAAAATTCAACTATCCAATTTCGTACGTTCAAACATTGCTTCAAACGATTTCCCGAGATCTTGGCATTTGCGTGAATTGATTTACGCTCTTGCAAACAATGGTGAGATGCAACAAAACGAGCGATTACATAAAAACTGCTGTAGAATCCGGCATTTTTACCCGTGGATTTTCTGAATTAACGCACAATGGGGACCTTGCGATTTTATGTGAACAAATGATGAAGATGAAGAAAACCTGTAATAAAATGAGAGTAAATTGCCTGGATATTATTGAATACCTTTTACGTTTGGAGGTAGAACCCAGCGTGAAAGATATGTTATATTTAGCATTTACTTCTTTCAAATATAATGAATTTATATCTGAGCACGAAGTACAAAGAAGATTGGAAGATTTGGTCGAAACGTCTAATATGTTTAGAGAAATGACATTGAGATTAACAATGTATGGAAACCAAAATATTTATGAAGGAAGTAAACATACCATATATTCACTGTTACAATTGAACTTTCGAAAGGTTGCACAAATTTTGCAAAATGAAGGTTTTCAACATTCTCTTCGCTTGAAACTTTCAAATCTTCAAATGTTTGGATGTTTTCTGAACAGCCACTTCGAGGAAGCCAGCAGATTAGCAAATAAAATCCGGAGCGCTATTTCAAATCTGCTGATGCGTACTTCCATGAACTTTGATTGTGCTGTTTTAGTAGTTGAATACTTGTCAGAGAAAGATCTGGAAAATTTTAACAGAGCACTATTTTAAAAGGTAAATTATTAAATTGTAAAAAACGACGCTAAACTTAAATTATAACTTTTTGTTCAATTTATGTATAAACAAAATCAAAGATTTCTTATTTTTTTAAAAATTCAAATAAAAAAACGTCAAATCCAACAATTTTTGCACATTTTTATCTTTATCATGTGGAAAATTCAAGTTTTGCATAAAAAATTTATTTTCAGATGTATACTATGATAAAAATTCTCTTTTGCTAGAAGAAACAAAAATTTCTATTTTTATTTTAAAAAACTAAAAAAAACAATCAGATTTAACGTTTTTACTTGTTTTTAACAACACTTTGTGGAAAAATAGTCTTTCACTGAATTTAAAAAATTGGACTTTTTTTGAAAAACTTTGATTTTTTGGTTTAATAAAAAATTTAATATTTTTGAATTATTTTCAGCTGAACTTCAAGTAAAAATTAAGATTTGCTCGAGAAATCAAAAATCATTGAAATTCCTTTTAAAAAAAAGTAAAAAGTTGAATTTTATATTTTACGTTAATTTTTAGGTGCAGTTTTTGAACAAATAAATTTGCAAAATGAAAAATTGTATTTGGTTTGAAAAAAGGCAAATTGGGCATTTTTTATTTCATTTAAGCTTTGTCATGGAAAAATATTGAGTGTCAAAAAATAAAACTATTTAATATTTGAATAAAAATTATACTATTTTTTTTAAAAACTCTAATTTTTTCAGACAAGTGACAAAATGTCCAATTGAACATTTTTGGGTTATTGTCAGATGCAGTATTTGAATTTTTCAATTTCAATTTTACGTAAAAATAAAAAATTTTGCCTTTCAAAAAATTTGATTCTTTTAGTTAAATAGAACAAATTTGATATTTTTCGCTTATATTTTGCTGCACTACACGCAAAAAATTGTTATGCTAAAGAGATCAAGTTTGTATTGTTTAAAAAAAAATTTTTTTTAAACTTAAATTTGACAGTCCATTTGTAGGATCAGTTTGTGAACAAATGAAGTCTTAATCCGAAACAAACAGTTTGAATTGGTTTTAAAAAACGTATCAAAATTGTCATTTTTTTATTACATTTAACTGTGGTATGGGGAAATATCGAGTCGCACTAAAAAGTTAATAAATTAAAAATTTTAATTAAATTTTGATATTTATTTGAAAAAATTATAATTTTTATAAAAAAGTGATAAAATGTACAATTTGAAATTTCTTGTTTATTTCTAGCTGCAGTTTGTGAAATATTTTTAATTTTATCTGAAATGAAAATTTTTAATTATTTTCAAAAATGTAAAATGTTTATTAAAAATATTTTTTTAAATATCAAATCTAATTTTTCGTTTATTTTCAGATACGGTGTGTAAAAAGTTAAGTTTCACTAAAAAAATAAGAGAATTTAAATTTTTAGTAAAAAGAAGTATATAACGTTAAATATTTATATTTGTTCCTTACTTATTGTTTTAATACATGGAAAAATCGTGCTTAGCTCAAGAAATCAAGTTTGAAATTTTGCAAAGAAGTAAAAAATGTCAAATTTGATGCTTTTTGTTCATTTTTAGGGGCAGTATGTGAATAAATAAAGTTTTCATCAAAAATTAAAAATATTCATTTGTTTATAAAAACGTAAATTTAATATTTTTTATTTCAATTCAGCTCTGGCATGAGAAAATATCGAGCCTTATTCAAAGAATAAAAATATTTACGTTTGAATAAAGTTTAGAATTTTTTTTGAAAAAAGCCTAATTTTTGAAAAACAATGATAAAACATATTGTTTGACTCTTTGGGTTCATTGACAGATACAATATGTAGAAAATTTAGTTTTCTTCAAAAAGAAAAAAAAATTGAATTTTTTGCCAAAATTGAAAAAATTATTCTTTTTTAAATTCTCCTTATTAAACTAAAAATAAAATACTCTTACTCTTCTTTCAGTAGTGGACCGGAGAAGAATAGTGACTCCACACGAAACTGGACATGATTTTCACGAGATTGCAGACATAGTTCATTGTTTAATAAAAACGGTTCGATTGTGGGTTTGAGCTCATGACGCTGGTGAAGACGAATCCTTCAGGGACTAAAGAAAATTCAATAGAGGCGTTCGAAAAAGTATATTGTTCATGATGACCTAATTTTAGAACACCATTTTATACTAAATGATTGTAGACTTCTTCCTGTCCACGAATTTGAGAAATGGAAAGTAATTAAAGACAGTAATATGGTTCATCGCGCGCTATTAACCCAGCGATAGTATGAAAGTCACCCAGAAATCATCCACGTTGCGAATTGCATTTATTCACTGCCTCGACGATTAAATAGCGTTATTGAGAAAAACGGTTTTTGGACCGATTATTAAATTGAAAATTAATTCTCTGTCAGTCAAACACAATTTTAATTAGAATACCGTTCTCATTAATATTTTTTTACAACTTCTAATGATAAGGACTTTCCGCATTTTCGACTAATTAAGTTAGAAAATTTAAAGCGACTGGCAGAGAGTTAATGTTTTTTATATTCATTGAAAATTTAATAGCAAAAACCGCTATCAAATTGAATTATGTCTTCTCAAACTTCTCTTACCGCGCCACCTTTTTTACAACTTCCATATGGTAAGCACTTCCTTTTTTTAGCAGAATGATACACTTCCATTTCGTTCAGTATTCACTTTAGTCGTTTATTTCCTGCTCAAAAAACAATTATTTAATAGTTTAGAATTCTAGAATCTCCATACTGAAGACCAAGCATGTAAACTTGCAGAAAACAAAATTGAAATATTTGTAATATAAAAAAAAAATTTAATTTTTTGCAAAACGGATGAAAAATTTTTTTGTTTATATTATTTATTATTATTATTTATTATTATATATTTAAGGAAAAAATTTTCAAATTGACATTAACATAAATATTAATTAATTATAATTATCAGTTAATTGAATTATTATTTACCCGAAATTAAATGCATCTACATTATTATTTAAAAGCATTTTCAGCTTAAGAACCAAATTTTTATAATAAATTTGTTTTAATAAATTCTAATATTCGAAATATTATTATTGAAAGTAAAAGAATAAGAAATAGATCAGTTTTATATCATTTCGGTGTAGTTGGGTAAATTGGTTAAATTAAATTATTTCGGGGTTACGTGTTTCAAGTTGAGAGCGCATACAAAAACAGGCATTTTTATAAATTTTCGCAAAATGTTGATCAACAACTGGGTTTTTCACCTTAAGCAAAATTTTATCCATCTGAAAAATCTCTTGATAAAATCAATGAAAAGTGTTTCAGAGCAAATCACAATCACTTTCTTTTGTTACTTTTTTATCGAAACAATTTCACAGCAATTTTTCTGCAAGTTTACATGCTTTTGATTCGCCGTCTAAGTTTATTGTTTGTATTTCAAGAAATATTTGATATTTATTACTTTGTATTATTCAAAAAATGTTGTTCTTAATAAATAGTTTATTGTGTGTATTGTAATACATTTCTAATTCTTTTACAAATACTTTTATTAATTTCTTTAGATTATCATAATGATTAGAAACAATAAAAATATCAATTTAAAAAATTATAATGTTTATAACTACAAATAATATTTAATTAGGAGCAAAAGTTAATTATTTTTCAATAATTGTTTTTAATATAAATAAATTAAACATATAAATTTTCTGAAAAAAATTATTTTAGGTAATTATTTTTAATCAAGAATCTATAATTTTATCAGAAATACTTTTTTAAAAATACATGAGAATACTAAATTATAACTACTTTGTTCAAAACTTTAATAGTTAAAAAAATTGAATCTTTTTTTCAGAATTTTTGATACTTCGAAAAAAAAATTTAATCACTTTCAATCAGAATCGCTGTTGTTTTATCAGAAATAATATATTATAATTAATTCTAATAATGTTTTTTTGCATTTTCTAGAATCTATATAAAAATAATTATTTATATATGTCTAATTTAAGCTCAATTGTTCAAATAATTCTTTTTCAAAAGCAGGATAAAAATTGAACATTATTACAACATTTAACATCAAGCTATACAAATTTTTATTTATTTATTTATTTATTTAATTACAATGTACGGGCTTACAAGTAAAAAGTTAAAAATGCCCTTTAGTGCAAAAGCACTTAATATTATAAAAATATATAATGAATATAATCACAGAATGACGAAATCATGTAGGTGACTTATCGACTAATACAAAATTAATTTTCGTAAGTCGTTTGTGAATTTTCCTAAAGATATACCAAAAAAGTCTAACGCGTGACAGTACTCGTTACCTCTAGTACAAATTCTGTTAATAACACTGTTGTCTAAATAGTTAGATTTATTAAATTTAACTCTGAACAGTTTTTGATTTCTTAAACCTTTTGAATTTTTAATTCTTTTTAATTGTAAAGATATTTGAAAAATAAAAAACGTATATGAACGCAAGAAAAATTAATGTCTTTAATTAAATTTCAATTTGTTCAAATAACAAAATTAATCGAAAAATTATTTTAAAAAACTTTTTTTGTTAATTATTTTTCTTCTTTTTCCACGACTTTCCAGGACATAAGTATTTTAGGATTTCAGGACATTTTCAGGACTTCCAGGATTAATAGGCAACCTGTAAGATTTAAATTTGGTGAAGTGAAAGTTTTTTTATAAAAAAATATAACAAAACATGAAAAAAACTAAATGACAATTTTGTGAAATTGAAATTTAATTAAATAAAAATTCAATCTCAAGCATTTACATCAAATGGATATTGTGATGAGAATCCAATTTATTAAATTTTTAATTTGTACTAAATTATTTATCTTTTATAATTAAAATCATATTTATCAATGTTTACAAATTGAGGCTCAATATTGTTAAAACATGTTTAAGAACATTTTAATTAACAATTATTTCAATATCCAGTTATGAAACTTTTTTATTTCTTTTTAACAAAATTTTTTCCAGTAGATTTTGAAAATATAAAATTAAATTATTTAACAGATTAAATACAAAATCAGAGTCTATTTATTAAACTTTGAGAAAACCAAAAACACTCTAGATTTTATCAGATTTAAAGAAAAAAAAATTAAAAAGGGTAAAACCTTTTTAATTTTTTTTCTTATTAATTACAGTCAATTAAAAAATTATAACCATGGAAAAATCCAAAAATACAATATTTACTCTATCAAAGAAAAAAAAAAGTTTTAACCTATCAATTATTACAAGCAACAAAAAATGTTATTATAACTTTAACATAAATTAAAATTCGTGCAAATAAAAGTTTCTTTTGAAAATCAATTTATTTATTTCAATAACAATTTCATGATTATGTCTGCAATATAATACTAATATTTAAAAAGGTAAATCAAATTGAATAAAATTTTAGCAAAATTTCTTTTCATTTTATTAATATGTGACCTGGACAGTTAAAAGGGACCTGTTGTTCGAAAAATTAATTTTTTATTGATTGGTGATTCTGATAGAAAAAAGTTTTCTCTATCAGAAACACCAATCAATAAAAAATCGATTTTTTCGGACAAAAGGTCCCTTTTAAATGTCCAGGTCACATATGTTGAACAATATGAAATTATATTATGGAAATTTTTTATTAAGCATTAATGAATCACATTACCTGTAACGATAGTTGAGGATCGAAGGATCTTCAGCGGTGTTAATAAAAAGTCGGCTTGTATAAAATGAAAATAGTTTTCTTCATCTTGTTGAAACTCCAGCCATTTAAAAATTGACAAAAATTAAAATTCAGCCAAATTAAAGCTCATTCAGAACATAATTTTATTAAATGCCAATCCTGCTAAATTAAAATTCCGGCAAACAGCATCTGAACAATTGGCACTGTAAAAAAACAATTACTGATTACAAATAAATCTACAAATTTTAATAATTCAGGCTTGAATTAAAAACCAAAGTATAATTATTTATTACTTTTTATTGTTATTCATTATTTTTTAGAAATAAATAATGTGAAAATTAAAAGCATATTTTCTACTCAAAAGTCCATATACACATAACCTCACATAAACTTATATTCACATAATTGCAATTAAATGTTTTTTCGCTACTTTTTCTTAACAATAATTTAATATTATGTAATTAATAAATTACTTGTCTATTACTGCTAGTAAACTTTTTAAAGATATAAAATTGATATAAGACACACACAAAAATAAACAATGGGTTCTTTCTACACGTCTAAGAAATCAACTTACCATTTTTTCAAGCAACTATTCCATAAATTCTGTTCTCTTCCTTCACTCTAAATAAAATTATTATTATTCACTATTTTTTTCGAAACATAACATTATTATTTACACATTTTTCGTAAAATATAATCAAAAGAAAATTAATAACAAAATTTCTTTTCTCATATTTTCCGATTTGACAGTTCCTGTTCCACATTCCGCAAAAATTAATCGCTCTACCACGAAAACAACATAGAGGGTAAGCAAACCACTTGAAAATAGTGCCTTTTCCTCAGGGAAGGCATCGTTGCACTCAACTGTACATAAGCGTTAGGGCATAAAATAAGCGTCAGTACAGGATAGAGGATGGAAAAGCCAATTCTACTGATAATAAATAATTATAAATAATTTTACTTTTCTTTTTTAAGTAGTAAAATCAACTACTTAAAGTAATAGTTTTAATTGCAAAAGATTTATTAATTCTACGAAAAAATGTTCTTAAAGCCTATTGAACCACTTTCAGTAGTAAAGTTTACTACTTAAAGTAGTAGTTTCAATTGCAAAATATTTATTAATTGTACCAGAAAAATGTTCTTAAAGCCTATTCAACTACTTTAAGTAGTAAAATCTACTACTTACATCTTGAGTTGTTTTAGCATTTTTAAATTAATTAATACAATCACAAAATGTAATTCTACCAATTACATTCTTAATTGGTTTAACTATTTTTATATAGTCAATAGAATCTTTTAAAACAATAATATAATTGATTTTTCAATTTATTTTATTTTCTTGTTGAAAAAAATCTTAAAAATGGGTATATGATTTTTGGTCTTTACAGTAGGAGTAGTCTAACCTCTTGATTAAGAAAATATCTTTAGATAACATATTATGTCACAGTTCTGTTCACTTATTTATAAAATTGCCATACATAAATTAAAATGGTATCTTCATTTAGTTCACAGCAGTTTTCCCTGCCTCTAGTGTGGTCCGTTTTAGATATATTTACCATAGCTTGACATGGCTGTGACGCTGTTCTCTATTAACGTGTTACTTAAGGAAAACTGATTAGGACAGTTTTTTTAGAAAGTGTCCTATTTTGTAATATAATTTTTATTTTTAAAAAATGCCAATTCAACTATTAAAAATTTTAAATGTTTACGGATCAAAGTTTACATATATTAACGTATTGAAATACGTTATTTCATTAAAAATACTCTTTATTTATTCCTAACTTTTTAATTTAATTTCTCCTAAGTTTTTTTTTCTTTTATTTATTTTTAATTTTTGATAAAATTTTAAAACGTTATGAGTTAGAAAATCAGATGATTTAACAGGGCAACATTTTCTAATAAAAGAAATGATCAATAATTTTTGGAGAATAAAACTACATATACGTATTATTTATAACTAACTCTAGTAAACACTTTATTAGGGGCTTCAGACGTGAGTTCTCGTCAAACTTCTATAATAAAAAAATTATTAAAATACTCAATGTGAATTTTTTAATTATTAATAACTTTTTTACGAACTGTAATCTTAAGAACTTACTTCATACAATTTTTTTAATAGTTATCTTAAAAACTTAGTTTCTCAAGATTTTCTTCGAATAGAGAAAACTGACGAGGCCATGACTAAAGCTTTATTTTAAATAGTGCATAGTGGGGCAACTTTTACACTGGTATTATGATATTTCAAAGAATAAAATGTCAACATTTTTGTTGCTCTCTAAATCTGAATTTATTTGTTCACATATGACGTCACTTAATTTTTCAAGAGTTTGTACCTTTACCCTATCTTATCATGCAATTTTTATATGAGAGTAACACATTGTGTCACGTTAAATAAAGATTCCTTTACTCTTTAGAGCGTGATATGTGTGAATGCTCCTTTAAAGGAATTAGTAACCTTTTTGAAAAATTATTAACAATAAAATAAGTTTTTCTACTTGCAATTAAAAAGTTCATAATTTAAAAAAACTTTCACTCATTTTTGTGTAATTTTATGTAAATTTCAAGATTTTAGCAAAAAATTGTTTCTTCCAATTTTTCTGTTAAAAATCTCATAACTTGAACTATTTTTAAGTTATTTAATTGCTTTTTGGAGTAATGTTTCAGTTTTTATTATATGATTTGAAAATATTGTGAAAACCATAAAAGGTTTTTGAAAAACAAAAAATAAATTTATAAAAAATATCACCTGTTTTTCTAAATTTTCAATTATTATTTATTAATTAATTTGAAATTTTACTTAATATTTATTTATTATTAATTATCGAAATTAATAATCCTATAACTAATCATATTTTGAAATATTGTAAAAGTAATGAGATTTTTAAGGAAAACTAATTTTTTGCTGAAATCTTCAAATTGAATTTACATGACGTTTTTCCGATAACAGAAATAGCTGTTCCCTAATGGAAATTTTATTTATAGTATTTACTAAAAATAGAAAAATAATGTGTACATTTAAAAAACGACAATTTTTTAGTAGATAAATGTATTTTGTTAAAAAATTTATATAAAAAAATGTAATCAATATTTAACAAATAGAAGCGAAGTTAACCATTAATTAATATTTATTTAATATCTTGTTAAATAGATAAATTATAATTTTACAAAGAATAATAGGTAATCTAAAAATTAACAATATATCCATTACATGGCTAAATAATTTAAAATATTTATTATACAGTTTAAAATTTTAACAAGTATGGAAGCCGTCAATAATGCTAATCATATTCTTGAGCCAGTTTTAATTATAATTTATTTTGCAGGATCTACAAAAAGTTATTCATCAAAAAGAATTGCAAATAGCTGATGCCAGCAGTTACACTGCTTTTTTAGATAATGTAGGTGTATTTATCAATACTTAATAATATACATAATTGTAAACATTCTATAAATCATTTAATACATATTAAATATATTATTTTCAATAATAATAATTATTTTGAAAATTTAAATTCAAATTGGTAACCAACACCAACCTAACTTGTGAAAAATTGAGAGTACTCATAAATTATGAAACTGTATATACAATTTACTATTACAAGACAAGTTGTTCTGTTAGTTAAGATGTCCTATCGTTTGCGATAGAATCACAGTTCTATTTCAATTCAATTTAATTTTTTAAATCAAAAATACTCTTAATATTATATTTATGTTTTATAACCTAGTATGGCATGGGGAATTTTTTCATTTTAACATAAACTAGCGATGTACTCCTCGCTCGCTAACGCTTGCTCGGTTATAGTTGTACTTATTTTTGTTTACTTAATATAGTTTATGAATATTATATATATAATTTATGTTTTAAATTAATATCTTATTAATATTGTATAAAATTTATCTTAATTTTGATCAGTATCATTGAAGAAAGAAATGAAAATTGTTAAATATTAGATGTTATTTTTATTATAATGATGACAACAATCTTCTATTATATTAAGTTAACAAATTTCCAAAAACGACACCATCCTTGGAAAATCTATATTCACTTATTTTCAAATAAATTAAAACACTTTGCTATATGCTTTTAGAAAATCTTACATACTTTTTTTTGTAACATGTTTTTTTAATTTAAACCCGAAAAAGGGTTATTTTGCAATTTTATGCAATTTTATGCAATTTTTTACGAATTTTTGGATATATACCTTTAAAATTACTCTATTTTTAAAAAGTTACATATAAACAATTTTTTTCAATTTTGTATGGTCTTTTTAAATTATTTATTATACCTTCCATCACATGTTTTTAGTAACGGACAATTATATGTTGCTTTATCAAGAGTAACTTCAAAATATAATCTTAAAGTATTATTAAATAAAAATTCAACTATTACATATAGCGAAAAAGGAATAAAAAAAAGGTAGGCAATGAAAAAGAAATTTATGTAAGAAACATTGTTTACCAAGAAGTATTACAATAATATTTAAATCATGTTTTAAAAAAATTCTACTACGAAAAAATCTACTAACTCTACTTTATAAATAAATTAATTCATTGAATTGGAAATGGCTGCGCTGAACAGTAACGGCAGCGCCATAAAAAAATATTATGATTATAATTAATATTATACTGATCATATCGCATAGAAAGGATTAAAAAACCACTTAAAAGAAAAAAATATATAAAATATGCTCCCTCATTAACAAAAATATATAAAATATAATCAAGTAATAACAAAAACTGTAAACTGGCTGCGCTGAGTAGTAACGGCTGCGCTATGAGAAATATATATTATAACGTGATTTTTGCTTGATTGATTATTTTTATGTTATTTTTACTCTAAATTCACTAAAACTATTAATTTTAAATTTTATTTTCTCACGTTACTTTATTTTTAATTTATTATTTTTTTTAAAAAAAGACGCCAAGTTATTTTTATGGAAAATAACTAAACCATTCTATATTTATTTGAATATAATATAATATCCGCCTGCTGGCTCAGCACGTCATTGTGTTATACCAATGACCCGCGGAGAGTGGGGGGGGAAAGGATAAAGACACAAGTAAACACTTCACTTAATTTGTTTCATAATATATTTTTTAATTCATAATTTAAGTAAATCAAGTATTCGGCAGAAGGCCGAATAATATTCGCATTTATAACGTTAGTACGCGAAAACTTTTGTATATAACTGAAGGTTGTATTATGATTTTAATTTTATTTATTGATTTTATAATGTGCCGATCTGGCTGACAAAATTATTATACTCGGGACTCACCGTCTATACGACGTCGACCCCTCAAAGAACCTCGTCCTGACATGATTAATAATTATTTATTTTTTCATGAATCCGGAGGGTAAAGTAGAACGCTACCGTGCCACAGCGCATCGTAGCGCTCTCTATCCAAAATGGCCGCTCCCAATGTTGTGACAGCTGAGTATACAAATGAATATTCGTCTTCCTGGTGCTCTTGAATATTCGGGAATCTCTTCCAAATATATACACCAGGAAGCACTTCCCTTGTGGTACGTCAAACATTATTAATGATATGGAAAAACTGACTCATTTTGTTGAATCGGAGAATTACTCCGATTAATGTCCATTTTTCATGAAATAGAAAAATAATAAAATGATAATGTGGACAACAATTTACTGTTTCCGTTAAATCGATCTGGTGAGTCAGCAGGTATATTTAATTTTATTCAACTATTGCTTAATTTAATATTTATAATTTTTACAATTCTCTTGTTATTTTATTACTTTTGACAACATACTGATTTTTATTTGTTTTTTTTTAGAAATGATGGTTCTCTCCACAGGGTTAGCTTGCGGGTGATATAACCCACATAGCACGACATTTTTCAGCAAGTTTGCAGCAAGTTTGCACGGCAAACTTACGAAGTTTGCATTGCAAGTTTTCTGCAAACTTGCGAAGTGTATAGAAATGTCCTCAGTGCTGCAAGTTTATAATGAAAACTTGCCGAAAGTTTGCAATGAAAACTTGCCAAAAGTTTAAAATGAAAACTTGCCGAAAATTTGCAATGAAAACTTGCCGAAAATTTTTCATGTAAATTGGCTAAAAACTTTCATTGTAAATTAACCGAAAACTACCCTTATAAAATTACTGAAAATCTTTATGTTAAATTTGTCAAAAAATGTTATAGTGACCTACCCAAATTTATCCCGAAATATATTATTGTTATTTTTAAAAAATTTTGCATTGTAAACTTACTAATAATTTGTTTTTAATTTGACTGAAACTACATAAAAAATTTAATAAATATTAGGTTATTCTACTTAAGGAAATTAATATTTTAAACTGATGTAATGTTAAAAGGTTAGAGATAATTAACATTAATTTAAATTAGTTATAGTACTACAATTCTTACAATTATATAATAATGAATAATGGAGCAAAGGGATAAAATAAAATTATTAATTTAAAATAATATTTTTTTTAATAATTAACAAAAAGAGATGACGATATAACAATAAAATAAATTTTTGATTTTTGAAAAAAAGAAAACTATTTTTATTTCTTTCTTCTTCTTGAAGTAAATAAATTATTCTTCTTCCGAATGGATACTTTCAATTTCCTCTTCTAATGTCACTTCGGTTTCTTTTTTTTTCCTAGAAAAGAAAAACAATTTAACACTTATTCAGGGAAGTTAATACATTTAGAAATTAATAATTATTTTTTCTATCTAAAATGAAGTATATATAACTCACAGTAAACGATTATGTCTGTTGCAACATTGGTGTAACCAGCTTTTAATTCCAACATACACCTCCTCTCTACCTACATTAGGTATTATTTTCCTGACTGCCTCTAAAATAACAATAAATAAGGATAAAAATTTATAGATTAATATTTTAAACAATGGTTTTTAAACAGATGAATATTACATTTTAATTTATCTTTACTTAATTGTAATTTTTAATTAAATATACTTATATGAAATTTTAATAATAAACATTTTTTTCAATATTAATTCACAGAAAATATAATCAACGTTGCAACAATATTTCACTAATTTTTTGGATATACAAATTGTGTAATAATAATTATAAAATTCATTATAGAATTATTATTATTAGTATTACTGGTAATCTATAGTAAATTATTACTAAATTATTACTTTTATTAGTAAATTATTAGTATTATAATAATAGTTACTTTTACACTTACTGAATACAACGAGGTTTATTTTCAGAGGCTTGAAAGCTGGCTTCTTTCTTAGTCTACCCAAAAATGTATAATTTTTCCCTAACTCATACGTAAGAAGTTCATCTAGCATGTTTTTTATTGTGATTTTAAGGGAATGGCTTCTTCCAATTGAACAAAGAGCATTAATCTAAAAAAGAACTTTAATTAATAAAGTATAATTATTTTATAGAGTAGACATTAAGGGCTAAATGGATTAATTAGACCTTTAGATAAAAAAATCGATTATCACATTTTTATTGATTTTGGTACAATTAAATATACTTTTTATATTAATAACTATTAATAACTTACAACTTTATCACGAAAACGTCTTGATTTCATTTTTTCTTCAGCATCCGTAAGTTGCTCTTTATTTTTAACTGGAAATATTCTTAGCTCTTCATCGTCAAAAAAATTTTGAATTACAGGACTGCTTTCTGATTTTTCAGCAATCGATTTCATCATTACATACATAGCATTTATTTTTTTTATTGTTTGTTGATCAATTTTAGGACCTGAAGGATGTAAAATATGTTTTATTAATAAATACTGTCATCCGGGGCTAATATGTTAAAAAATCGGAATTCTGGGTTCTATGATTAAACAAAATTCCAATTTTTATAAAAAAATGTTTTAAGGTATACTGTTGACACCCTTTTAAATATTTTCACAAAATTTTATCAGAAAAAATTGTTTATCTTTAGAAAAAATAATTATCTCAGTTATATTAACTGAAAATTTGTACCATAATAGCCCCGTAGTTGGGGAAATCGTGGTGAAAAAGGGGTTTTTTATTCTTAAAATAATGTATTTCAACCATTTATAATTTTTCAAAATTTTAAGAATCTGACTTTAGATTTGTAATCATCGACTTCAAAATTCCTTAGAAACCCATTTTTTAAAAAAATGCAATGATTTTTCAAATAATCATCTGCCATATTGGATCAATTAATCAACTTGTAAAAAAAAGTCCCCATTTTAAATTTTCTGATACAAAAATAATTCATTTATACATAAAATCGAACCGCATTAGTTTTTGTTTTTCTTTAAAAAGAAACCGCAAGTTAGATGGAATCGTACTCTGAAACTAACTTACACAAATTTAACGTTCTATCCAATAAACCAACTTAAATATTGGTAGTTTAAAATTTTTCAGAAATATAAAATCTTTAAAAATCTGTATATTTTTATAACTTGTGAATAACCTAAAATGTCAATGTCAGATTGGTTCGTTGGTTAACTCTTTCGATTAGTGGTTTCAAGTTTTAACTCCGTATTATCTCAATATTATAAGTAATTTTACCTTAAGGGGAGGAAAAGCTGAAATTTCAACCTTTTGAAATTAAGGCTGTTTAAGGTTGTCTATTTTTTGTTAATATTGAATATTTAAAACTGTAATATACTATGTGAAATCGAAAAATAATTAATTCATTAATAATTTATTAAATAGAACTTAAAATTTTTAAAAATCGGAAATTTTAAACTAATATCTCAATTTTTATTATTTTAATTTTTTTTAATTTCATTATTTGAATTTTAAAAAATTCAATTTTTTCAAAAAATAAAATTTCTGATAAATAAAAAACATTGTAACATTTTTAAAAAATGCTGCTTTTAATTTTTCGTAGTCAAGTATGATTTCAGGTTTTAAAATAATTTTAAAAAAATTGTTACCCCTAAATCAAACCAATTATTATCAAACCAATCAAAACCAATTATCAAACCAATTTTATCAATTATTCTTTTAAATTCAACTTCTGCAATTTTAATTATTTATCATCGGTAATTTTTTTGTAAACTTCTTTCATGATTTGTCTTCTAAAATAGACAAAAATATTTTTTTATTTTGGAAATTTACAATAATTTTATATCCCAAATAAAAATATGAAAAAATTGACACCCCTTGACAACATTATTTTCGATGAGTTGAAATTACACCGGTCCCTCTCTTTAAAGCGGACATTTTAATGTTACTATAATTTTTAATTTAGTTACTATTACTACTTAGGAAATAGCTATTACCTTCCATGTGAAAAGACTCAGATGAATCTGTGCGAGAAGTATTATGACTTACAGGGCTACTATTAGAGTTCGTTGACGAAGATGTTTTATTTAATGTCACAGCGACGTTACATGTTTCATTTTCTAAAAAAATTGCAATAAATGTTATGGTATTAATAAATTTAAGTCACTAATTCTTTTCAGTCGAAAGTCTATAGAATAATCTTAAAGTAAAATCAGTGCAAAATTAATTACCTTCAGGTACAATTGGACTGTCGTTATTGTTTAATTGTAAAGTAGCACTTGGTGCTGGTTTCCACAAAGTGTTACTTATGATGGCTGTATAAGACAATATATTAATTTTAATTTATTTGAAAGGTATCTAGTTATACATTTTTATGTATTATAAAACAAAATACACTAGATACAAAATATAATTAAATTCATTTAACTGGAATTAACTAGATTTACTATAACATTATGAATATATCGACACAGTTTAAAGAGCGCTTTAATTATTCTTAAAAAAAATTACCAATCTGTTTGCGTTTCTTTGGTACACTGCATTCAGGTTCTATGGAATCGTCAAACTCCTCGTATTTCTTTTTAATACATCTAACATGTCTAGATTTTTTTAATTTTTCAAAATTTTTATGTTCATCACTTTCAATGTCAGTCAACTGTAAATATAATTCGCATTTCTTCATTGCTGCTTCATAAGAATCTGAAAAACATTAGTACAATTTAATACATTGAACCCTTGAACGCCACCAGTTTGAATTAAAAAATTTGGATATCCTGTGGACAACCTCTGAATATCCTAGGATATCCTGTGGGCTTTTGAGGTCACTGATTACTAATCTGATGTCAGTTTTTTAAAATTTATTTAAAATTCAAAATGGCGGATCAAATATGGTGGACGAAATTTTAATAGTTGAGCTAAGCTCTTTAAAATGACTGCGTGGGGGATTTTTCGGTAGCTGATTACGAATCCATTGTCAGGTTTTAAAGATTTTCTAAATTCAAAATGGTGGGTGCGAAATAACGGATTTTTTTAAAATAATTACATTTGCATGAAACTTGTTATTCGGGGGTTTTTAGGGTATTTTTTTATTATTATTAAAAAAATAAAAACAAAAGATGATAAATGGAATTAGTCTCAGAAACCCTGAATAAAGACTTTCATGCAAATCTGATAATTAAACAAAATTGTCCGCCATATTGTATCCGCCACACTGAATTATAAAATACTGATACTGGATTCGTAATCAGCGACCCCGAAAACCCTTAACAGCAGTTAATTCGCCAATTCGTTTACTATATGAATTAGTAACCGTTGTGACTAATTATTAGTAAAAAAACAAATTAGTATAGAGGAATCGATTCTTTTGAATTGAGGATCACAACAAAATAAATCGATCGACGCTAGATTGACAAAATATACAAAATGAAGATCCAACAAGGAGAATTTTTAGAAGTTTTTTTGATTAGCTTGCAACTAGTAACTTAGATTTTTCACTGTCATTGATTACAAGTCTAATATTAAATTTGGAATTAATGATCCCAAAAGCAGCAAAGTATCAAGTTATAAGAAAATCGTTTTAATTACAATTTTTTGATTCATCGGATGATTAAAATACTAAACTTGACTAAAAAACTTAAGTTTTGTTAAAAAATTAATATTCGTTGATGTTAGTGATATTTATGTAGATAGAAGATATATGTCTCATACGCTTTATTGAAATTTTGTTTTAATTTAATGTTTAACTGAAAAAATAAAACTTACTTGAATAACTAAAAAGTTTAACCACGGGAAATGGGTTTCCATCCTGGTCCGAAAATTTTCTTAAATCAATATCTCCTTCTTTTTGTAATAAGCTGTATAACTCCTTTTTTGAAATATTTGATGGAAAATATGACGCTATTATTTTTGAATCGTCATAAATTGCCCATTCGTCTCTTATAATTTCCAGAGAACCATCATCGAATTCAACAATCGCAAATTTATTGTCACCCATGATTTACTAAAATTTTTCGTAATCAAAATATATAAAAGTACGTAGTATAAAAAAAAATATTTTTAAAAAATTCAAAAATTTGCAGATGGACTTTCACTTTGGCGTAGAGTAGATCATACGTATATGGGGTAAAATTCCTGTAGCGTACTAAGTAAAAAAAACTTTCATCTGATCGTGCAGTAGCTTGCACGTAGTTTAGCCATAGGGGTGAGTACTTCAACTACAAAGTGTAGTTAGGTTTTTTCATAAATAGTCGGAGAGGCAGGGCAGGGGGTTGAATTTTTGTGAAAAATTTAAACAGTGAATTTTTGAAGAATTGTTACTTTTTAATAGAAAGATGAATAAAAAATTTGACCTATATGTTTTCAAAAGGTTTTTTTCTGCTCTTTCGAAAGGTGCAAAATTTTTTCAAAAAATTCAAAATTAGACCCTTTTTAAAAAATTAAAATTTTTTTGACTTCTTTTTTAAGTTTGGTCTTTTTTTTATTTTTTTTTTGAAAGTTAAAAATGTGTATTTTCACAACAAAAAATATTGAGATGTCCATTTTTATTATTTTCGAGATATAACAGCATCCAACGAGCCCTATATGATCTATTTTGGATTAGAGGATTTTTTATAAACAATTGCAATGTTATCCAATTGATTATTAGACGGAGAGAAGAGTGTATTGAATGTAACTACGCGCTGAGTAACAGTCACTAAACAATTTCGTTTGTTTTTGACTGACAAAACAAATTTTAAGGATAACTAAAATTTTGTCAGATGTATTAAACGAATAGTGAATTTGACATTAATGAATATTGTTCCTTACAAGGAACAGTCAAATTGACTGAAACTCTTCTTTCCACGTAACAATCCACTTATCGAAAGTACTTATAATAGGGCTCATGGATGCGGAATGGTGTCAACTTTCATTTAGTAACGTACATATATATATATATATATATATATATATATATATAATATATATATATATATGATTTCCAAAGGTTTTTTTGTGTCCTTTCGATTAGTGAAATTTTTTTTTAAATTTTACTCCATTTTTTAAGAATCATTACAATTATTTATAAAACATTCTCTAATCCGAAATAGTTTTTGAAGAAACCTAATAATACTTCGTGGATAAAGTTTTCACCCCTTGGGATAAACTATGTGCAAATTATAGCTCGATTCGATCAACTTTTTTCTCACTTAGGAATTTTACCCCATATACATTGATATGGAATGACCGATTCCTAACGTAACCTTGTCGAAAACATTGGTTAGGTACACTAGATATGGAATGACTCATACTGAAGAAAGCGGCGAAATCTTTTGTAGTATAGAAATGTTCTATTATATTTTATTATATTATATAATTATTTTAATATAATGTTTTACATTAAATTTCAATTAATTATTAGTTTTAGTATTTAAATTTAATTATACTTTTAAATACAAATACTAATTTTAAAATAATATAATATAACATAATATAATATATAATATATAATATATAATATATAATATATAATATATAATATATAATATATAATATATAATGTATAATGTATAATGTATAATGTATAATGTATAATGTATAATGTATAATGTATAATGTATAATGTATAATGTATAATGTATAATGTATAATGTATAATGTATAATGTATAATGTATAATGTATAATGTATAGTATGTGTATAGTATAGTATAGTATAGTATAGTTTATAGAATAGTATAGTATAGTATAGTTTATAGAATAGTATAGTATAGTATAGTTTATAGAATAGTATAGTATAGTATAGTTTATAGAATAGAATAGAATAGAATAGAATAGAATAGAATAGAATAGAATAGAATAGAATAGAATAGAATAGAATAGAATAGAATAGAATAGAATAGAATAGAATAGAATAGAATAGAATAGAATAGAATAGAATAGAATAGAATAGAATAGAATAGAATAGAATAGAATAGAATAGAATAGAATAGAATAGAATAGAATAGAATAGAATAGAATAGAATAGAATAGAATAGAATAGAATAGAATAGAATAGAATAGAATAGAATAGAATAGAATAGAATAGAATAGAATAGAATAGAATAGAATATAATATAATATAATATAATATAATATAATATAATATAATATAATATAATATAATATAATATAATATAATATAATATAATATAATATAATATAATATAATATAATATAATATAATATAATATAATATAATATAATATAATATAATATAATATAATATAATATAATATAATATAATATAATATAATATAATATAATATAATATAATATAATATAATATAATATAATATAATATAATATAATATAATATAATATAATATAATATAATATAATATAATATAATATAATATAATATAATATAATATAATATAATATAATATAATATAATATAATATAATATAATATAATATAATATAATATAATATAATATAATATAATATAATATAATATAATATAATATAATATAATATAATATAATATAATATAATATAATATAATATAATATAATATAATATAATATAATATAATATAATATAATATAATATAATATAATATAATATAATATAATATAATATAATATAATATAATATAATATAATATAATATAATATAATATAATATAATATAATATAATATAATATAATATAATATAATATAATATATAAAATTCGATTTCTTTGAAATATCTTTTGAAGGAACATTTCTGGGACTGTATAGAGCAGTTATTCAAGATAGTATTGTTGGGATCAGCGAAGCATGAAAATGTAAACAAATAGAGACATACAGACTACCTACATTGACTTTTCTTTCACTGCATTAGGATTAATAATACATTTAAATACAAATATTAATTTTACAAAATTAAAATTTAAAGTCAAATAAAATATATTTTAATATTATAATATAATATGTATTTATGTTAACAAAAAAGATATCTATGGATAAATTGATTTTTAAAATAACAATTTCATAATATTAAAATTTTTACTGTATAATTTAAAATAATATAATACATAATATACTATATAGGCGAAAACATGTGAGATTTCCGTCGACCCTTTAAATTCGGCCGCATATATTATTTTCTTGCTCTGTAGCGAAAAAAAAGACATAGGTATTTTTTTACTTTTTTATTTTTTGAAAAATTTTCGAGTTATGAATTTTCAAAAATTCAATTTCTTCAATGTAGACCTATTTTCAATGGCTGATAACTTGAAAAAAATGGATTTTTTTAAAATTTTTGATAAATGAACAAAAGTTTCAGTTTTTCTGTTACTTCTCCATAATGTTAACAAAATTTTTTTTCATTTTTTATTAAAGAAATAAAAATTTTTATAAACCAATTAAGTTTTTTTTCGATATGATTTATTTTAAAATTTTTTTTAAAACATACTTGGAAGTACCAAGAAAATTTTGCAAAAAAAATTCAGAGTGGGCCGATAACTTTTATAGATTTAAATAAACATTTAAACACCGCGCAGTAAAATTGTTAAAAATTATTTTTTTTCTTTTTTTTTGAACCTGCAATCATATTTCACTATGAATGAAAAAAAATAATTTTTAACAATTTTACAATTTTTTTAATTTTCAAAAAAAGTGCAAAATGCTGCGCGCGGTGTTAAAATGTTTATTTAAACCTATAAAACTTATCGGCCCACTCTGAATTTTTTTTGCAAAATTTTCTTGGTATTTTAAGGTATGTTTAAAAAATTTTTTTTTTAAAAAATCATATCCCAATTTAAAAAAAACTTAATTTGTTTATCAAAAATTGTAATTTTTTTAATAAAAAATGAAAAAAAATTTTTTTTTTATATTATTAAAAAGTAACAGACAAACTGAAACTTTTCTTTTCTTATAAAAAATTGAAAAAATCCATTTTTATCAAATTATCAGCCATTGAAAATAGGTCTACATTGAAGAAAATGAAATTTTGAAAATTTTTCAAAAAAATAAAAAAATACGTATCTCTTTTTTTTCACTACAAAACAAGAAAAAAATATATTTGGCCGAATTTAAAGGGCCGACGGAAATCTCATGTGATTTCGCCCATATATAATATTATTCTATATTATATAATTCACTTTAATATTTAGGTTTTAAAACTTAATTTTTGTAAATTATATTTATTCAGCAATCTAAATGTAGTGATAGAAAAGTGTACACAGTTTGAATGTCTTTAGTTGTTTATATTTCATACTTCACTGATTTCAACAATACTATCATAGATTACCTCTCTATACTGACCCACAAATTTTTCCTTAAAGGATCTTCCAAGAAATCGATTTTTATACTGTAGTTAATTTAGGTAGATAAATATTCGCCGTTTATATAATATTAAATATGTGGGGCATTCCATCCCAAACCAACATGACGTTGACTTTGACCTTTTCGTTTTGGCTTAACTATTTGTACCTTTATGAATCTCCAAAAAAAGGTTTTTCAAATTTTTTCTTCATACCGTTTACAAAATATGAATTTTTTAAAAAATGCAAATATGCAAAATTTTCAAAAAATGCATGAAGTGAAAAAGATGTATTTCAATATTATCTACAATTTTCGTCTAAAATTTTTGATATGATTAATAATTTATGATTTATTATATTATATTATATTATATTATATTATATTATATTATATTATATTATATTATATTATATTATATTATATTATATAATACTTTTTAATATTATATAATTTAATTTAATATTTAGGTTTTAAAACTTAATTTTTGTAAATTATATTTATTCAGCAATCTAAATGTAGTGATAGAAAAGTGTACACAGTTTGTATGTCTTTAGTTGTTTACATTTTCATACTTCACTGATTCCAACAATACTATCATGAATTACCTCTCTATACTAACCCACGAATTTTTTCTAAACGGATCTTCCAAGAAAATCGATTTCTATACTTTAGTCAATTTACATGGAAAAATATTCGCAGTTTTAATCAATTAAATATATGGGCATTCCATGCCAATCCAACATATCGTTAAGTTTGACCTTTTTATTTTGGCTTATTTATTTTTACCTTTATAACTCACCAAAAAAAGCTTCACAATTTTTTAAAATTTTTTCCTCAATCCGTTTAGAATATATGAATTTTTAGAAATATACAAAATATGTATTTTTCAAAAAAAGTAAATATGGAAAATTTTTAAAAAATGCATAAGGCATAAAAAATGTATTTCAATATTATCTGCAATTTTCGTTTAAATTTTTTCTTACTTTTGCATATTTTATCCAATGAACAAAAACAAATCAAAAATTTTATGATATTATGTATGGTATTAACCATAAAAATTAAAAAAGTTTGGTATTGTCACTATGATCTTAATAATCAGTGCATAAAAATACATAAAACTACATTGTAAAAAATCTGGAGATATTTTTAAAAAATTTCGAAAAAATTAAAAATATCGTTTTCCCACGTCCAGATTAGGCTTAAAACTTTTGTAAAAGAAAATAATTTTTTTGAAAATTTTTTGAAAAAATCGAAGGATACAAGCAGTTTTAAAAACAAGATTTTAACATTTAAATTTAAAAAATATGAAAAGTTTTAATTTTTTATTTTTTTGCATGAAATTTCCAAAAAGTTTAGTTAATAACACACATTTTGAAAAACATTTAAACTAAATATATTATAATTTATATTATACTACATTTTATTACTTACAAAGAAGTTGATGGAAGATGTCCCTTATTGGAAACTACACAAATACACATAAATTATTTTCACTTCTATTTTTCTTCCCCTTCCTTTGCAAGATACTGATATCAACTAAAGGAAAAATTTTGGAAAGTTCAAAGCATTATACCATGCTTGCGACGTTGTCATATTACTAAGACGTTGACTGCTCCATCATGTCATTGCGACGTGATACCTGGTTCGATTCAAATATAGTGATTACATTTACTCTTCGTTAACGCGAGTGTCTTCATTTTCAATTACTAGTGTTTTTAAAAGTTTAGTAAATCTTTACTTTCTTTTAAGAAAAAAAGTCAGTACATTGTATAGTTGATTTCGTGTACTTTTCAACTTTAAAAAAAATTGACAGATCTTATTCAGCTTTAAGTGAGTATTATTTTATGTAATTATAGAAATATATATACCATCACATACTTAAAAAATTATTTTATCAAGATTAAAATGAAAAATCAATTTTTCAAAATTACATTTATTTTAAAAATTTGATTCATTTAAATATAATAAAATTTATATTGATTTGGAAAAAATAAATGTTGCATTAAGCATTTTATTCATTATCATATTGTTTTATGTATTTACAAATTTTATATTTATAAAATAAATATATTATAGAATTTAGGTATACTTATAATTTTTTGATTTAATTATATAAACTAAAAATATTTAGAATGCATCAGAGCAAACATTTTTTTAGATATTCAAAATGTAACCCCTTTTTTATGAAATTCAAAAATATAAAATGTTTTTTTAGGTATCTTCCTTATCCTCTTTAAACTTGCATATATACATATCAAATTATAATATATGGGCGAAATCACGTGAGATTTCCGTCGATCATTTAAATTTGGCCAAATATATTTTTTTCTTGTTTTGTAGTGAAAAAAAAGAGATACGTATTTTTTTATTTTTTTGAAAAATTTTCAAGTTATGAATTTTCAATTTCTTTCTTTTCTTAAAAAATTTTTTTCTTTTTTTATAGTGAAATATGATTTCAGGTTCCAAAAAAATTAAAAAAATAATTTTTAACAATTTTTTGAAATTTTTAGAAATTTGTAAAATTACAAAAAATTGTAAAATTGTTAAATACTATTTTTATTCATTTTTTTGGAACCTGAAATTATATTTCACTATGAAAAATAAAAAAAAATTTTTTAACAAGTTTACAATTTTTTTTAATTTTCAAAAATGCGCAAAATGCTGCACTCGGTGTTTAAATGTTAATTTAAACCTATTAACTTATTGACCCACTCTAAATTTTTTTTCTAAATTTCTTTAGTATTTCCAGATATGTTTAAAAAAAATTAAATAAATATCATATTCAAATTTAAAAAAACAATTTGTTTATAAAGAATTGTTATTTATTAATAAAAAATGAAAAAAAATTTTGTTAACATTATGGAGAAGTAACAGAAAAACTGAAACTTTTGTTCATTTATCAAAAATTTTAAAAAAATCCATTTTTTTCAAGTTATCAGCCATTGAAAATAGGTCTACATTGAAGAAATTGAATTTTTGAAAATTCATAACTCGAAAATTTTTCAAAAAATAAAAAAGTAAAAAAATACCTATGTCTTTTTTTTCGCTACAGAGCAAGAAAATAATATATGCGGCCGAATTTAAAGGGTCGACGGAAATCTCACATGTTTTCGCCTATATAGTATATTATGTATTATATTATTTTAAATTATACAGTAAAAATTTTAATATTATGAAATTGTTATTTTAAAAATCAATTTATCCATAGATATCTTTTTTGTTAACATAAATACATATTATATTATAATATTAAAATATATTTTATTTGACTTTAAATTTTAATTTTGTAAAATTAATATTTGTATTTAAATGTATTATTAATCCTAATGCAGTGAAAGAAAAGTCAATGTAGGTAGTCTGTATGTCTCTATTTGTTTACATTTTCATGCTTCGCTGATCCCAACAATACTATCTTGAATAACTGCTCTATACAGTCCCAGAAATGTTCCTTCAAAAGATATTTCAAAGAAATCGAATTTTATATATTATATTATATTATATTATATTATATTATATTATATTATATTATATTATATTATATTATATTATATTATATTATATTATATTATATTATATTATATTATATTATATTATATTATATTATATTATATTATATTATATTATATTATATTATATTATATTATATTATATTATATTATATTATATTATATTATATTATATTATATTATATTATATTATATTATATTATATTATATTATATTATATTATATTATATTATATTATATTATATTATATTATATTATATTATATTATATTATATTATATTATATTATATTATATTATATTATATTATATTATATTAAATCAAGATTCGCGGTAGAGAATCGACGCCAAGTAATTTTTCCAAACCGCGAATCTATTTTCTCAAAATATCGGCATTTTTCGACCAAAATTGGATATCTCGAAAAGTTCTTTATCGATTTCGTTCAAACTTTTTTTGCCGAGTAAAAAATGTCAAAAAAAGAACTTCTGTAAAAAAAATTTTAATTTTTTTAATAAATTAGGAAAATTAGGCTGAAAAAACACAAAAATTAATGATTTTTTAATATTTGCTCACACCTGGAGCCTGTAGTTCTTAACCGATTCGCTTGAAACTCACCTATAATATCAATTGGGTCAAAATCTCGATATATATTTCAGGATATTTTAATACACTCAAAAAATTTAAAAAATTTTGAATTTTTAGGTTAAAAAATAAATTTTTTTGATATTTGCTCACACCTGGAACCCATAATTCTTAACCGATTCACTTGAAACTCCCCGACAATATCAGTTCGGTAAAAATCTCGATATATAATTAAGGATTTTGAAATACACTCAAAAAATTTAAAAAATTTTTAATTTTTAAGGTAAAAAATCGATTTTATTGATATTTGCTTACACGTGGAGCCTATAGATCTTAATCGATTCGAGTTGTGAGTATTAAATTTTAAGCATGCATTACCAAAAATTTATGTACTTTAAATTAAGACAAAAAAGTAAAGAATCAAGATGTAAAAGTTTTAAAGTGTACATATAGGTGTGAATAGAATTTTAATAATCCGTGTATTTGCCAAAAATGCGTTTTACACAAATTAAAAAATATTTGATCACATAAAAATGGGAACAATAAGTTAGACAAAAGTATTAATTTATTATTATTATTATTATTATTATTATTATTATTATTACTATTATTTAAGTCAAACAAAAAGTATTGAAATCTCAACAAAAACATCTTCGATGCAAAAAGTTACGCCAAGTAAAAATTATCTTAGTTCTGGAAACAATTTGTGAAATGAAAGTTAGCCAAGTAAAATTTATAATTATATTTTAGCTTTTCACAAGACGTATATTTAATTATATTTTTAAAATATGCGTGTAATAAAGAAATGTAATAAAAAAAATGTAATAGAGTTTAATAATTCTTCAAATAATAAAAATTTAAATCGGATTTCTAATTAATAAAAATTTATTTCATAGGCAAAATTGAAAAACTTGGCGTAAATAATTTTTTTACATCTACTTATGCTGTAAATGAATAAAGAAACATCGATTAGGAGTGTAAAAAAATCATCTATATTCGCATCTCAATTATTTAAAAATTATTCAAGCCAAGTTTTTCAATTTTGCCTATGAAATAAATTTTTATTAATTAGAAATCCGATTTAAATTTTTATTATTTAAAGAATTGTTAAACTCTATTACATTTTTTTCTATTACATTTCTTTATTACACGCATATTTTAAAAATATAATTAAATATACGTCTTGTGAAAAGCTAAAATATAATTATAAATTTTACTTGGCTAACTTTCATTTCACAAATTGTTTCCAGAACTAAGATAATTTTTACTTGGCGTAACTTTTTGCATCGAAGATGTTTTTGTTGAGATTATATTATTTTAAAATTAGTATTTGTATTTAAAAGTATTATTAATTATAATGTAGTGAAAGAAGAATCGATATGGGGCATTCCACGGGAGATTTTCATTCAATTTTTTTTCCCCGAAACATTTTTTTTCGAAATCTATATGAAAAATAAGGAAATACGTATATTTTTATTTTTTTATTTGATGAAAATGAAGGAAGTTATGATTTTTTGAAATTTAACGTCAACGAAGAAAGTGTGTTTTTAGAACATTTTTAATCTATTGTACTAAGAAATTAAAAATTATGCTATATATGACATTTGTTCATTTTGTCTCAAATTTTTCAAATATGTGCTCAAAAATAACGTACTTATAACAGAAACAACAAAAAAGTTGAAATTAAACTTATAAAGTGAGTTTTCTCAAAAGAGACACTTTCGACTTTTAATTTTTTTTTGCATTACAATCTCTGATGATTGAAGAATTTTTTCCCCTATCTGCGAAAGTGGTATTTTTAGTTTTTAAATTACGATTTATAATTTTTTTAGTACAGCTCACAGAATTTAAGCATTTTTTCTACAAATATAACCTTTTTCCATTAACATTCATTTGTTTTTTTTTAATTTTCATAAAAACATATTAAAAATCGTTGCGTCAAGCTTAAAAATTGTAAATAGTAATTTAAAAACTAAAAGTACCACTTTCGTAGATAGGGGAAAAAATTCTTCAGCCATCAGAGATTGTAATGCAAAAAAAAAATTAAAAATCGAAAGTGTCTCTTTTGAGAAAACTCACTTTATAAGTTTAATTTCAACTTTTTTGTTGTTTCTGTTATAAGTACGTTATTTTTGAGCACATATTTGAAAAATTTGAGACAAAATGAACAAATGTCATATATAACATAATTTTTAATTTCTTAGTACAATAGATTAAAAAATGTTCCAAAAACACACTTTCTTCGTTGACGTTAAATTTCAAAAAATCATAACTTCTTTCATTTTCATCAAATAAAAAAATAAAAATATACGTATTTCCTTATTTTTCTTATAGATTTCGAAAAAGAATGTTTCGGGGAAAAAAAAATTTTCAATGAAAATCTCCCGTTGAATGACCCATATAGTTTATAAATCTGTTATTTTGTTCATATTTTTATGCTTCAGTGATCCCAACAATGTTATAATAAATTACAGCTCT